AGGAATGTCTTCATGTTTCCATCAGTCTCGTTTTGCACAAAACAAGTTCCAAAGTGATTTTGCAGTCACCACAAAATATGCTGGTCATTATCAGAAGCCATCAGACTACTTAGAGAGACTGTCTTAATAGTTCTCTGTAGGGGATAAAATACATTGCCGTGATTCCATTCACATGGAAGATGACAAAAGACTGAGCAGGATCCCAGGGCCTGTTGTATTTTTGATCTGATAAGTACATTTTCTTGAGGAAACCTGGTCACATTATCTTACCTAAGTATGCCTAGCATGGACCTTCCTTCTCTGGCTTTTCCTGATCTTTCTGTCATTCAAGTCAATAAGCAGGTGGCCAGTTGAAGATTGGTTTAGTCATAAGTTACCAAGAATTAGAATAACAGCAATACTTTAATATAAGTACTACTTTACTCATTTGATATGTCATGTCATGATAGAAGTCAGTTCTTTGTGTTTACTAAGTCAGTAGTTCCTTACCTGGGACCTAATGAAACAGCATCCATTTACTAAAGATAAGGCTTCAAAGGAACTAAAATGTCACCTTTGTCTGCTTTGAACTTGAATTACATAAGGTCAGAAGATCCAAGTGATAGTTAAACTTATCAATTACAAAATATTCAAGAGAGAATTGTTACTTAACAAATACAGACCAGTTTTCCAAAGAAAATCTTTCAAAACAGGGAGAGGAAAGGAGGGCAGTAAAATATATCTGGAAAAGAGATTCTTTGCGATGAAAACAATCAGAGGTCACTACAGTAGATTATCATTAGCAAAGTGCAAAGGATGCCTCATTGTAGGCATTTAGCTTTCTGTGGAGACTTAAGACTATAATACATAAGTACTCAAGGAATGCGTTGTCATGTAAAAACAGTCTTCTCGATACGCACTTAAAAGCAGTAGGTATCCCCATCTGACAGAAGTAAAAATCTAATTTAATTTGCATTTTGGGGGACAGAGAGACCTTATAAACATGTGAGTTGGTTTTGGCATTTGTTTGGAAAGCCACTTTAAGAAAAAGAATTCTGAGCAAAATGTTTGGTGCTGAGACAGGGTAACTTTCCTCTTCACTTTCCCTCAAGATCTCACCAGGGACGTTGGGGAGACTTAGCCACCCAGGCAGTGCTCTGGAAAGCTGCTGCGTGCTGCGACTCATATCCTGCTACTCTGACTCGCAGTATCAGAAACCCCCGTCACTTGTATCCCTGCCAGGATGGTCTGTGAGTTGGCTTATTAAAAGCTGCATCTTAGGGTCTTTTTGGTCCATTTACTGTCTTGTTCATAGCCACATCCCTAGTTCCTAGTACAGTGCCTGGCATGTAGTTTAAAAAAAAAAAAAAACCAATAATAGTTAAACACTGAAGTAGTGGATTTAATAATGTGTTGGGTACTGCTCTAAGTACTTCAGGCATATTAACTTATTTAAACTTTACAGTAACCCGTTGAAGTAAGTACTTATTCTCAGTTTACAGATGAGGAAACTATGGCACAGGGAAGGCAAGCAGCTTGCCCAAATTCACATCACTAGTTACTGTCAGAAAGGGAATTTGAACCCAAGCAATAAGGCTCTAGAGTTTGTGCTTTTCACTAACTTATACCTAACCTTTCTTTAGAAGGCAGTCAACAAATATTTATTGATTGGATGGATGGAAGGATAGATGAATGAATGAATGAATGAATGAATGAAAAGGGAACTTTTATTATAGTATTTATTGTTCCATTTTTATTTTTTAAATGCATTCATGCAAAATACCCAAATATCCATTGATAATAGCTCAGATAATGTGGTAAAGTCCCATGGTGGAATATTATACAGCAGTGAGTAAAACAGGTTACGGGCACATGCAATAGTGTGTATGATTCTCATAAGCATAATGCTGAGCAAAAGAAATCAGACCTAAAGAGTACCTGCTATCCTATTGCATTTATATAAACAATATAGGCAAAAGTGACCGATGCTGTTAGAAGTCAGAGGCTGGTAGCCCTTGGAGCTCGTCACCGGAGGGGGCCGAGGGGCTCTGGGAACTGAGCATGTCTGTTTCTTAGTCTGGTGCTGGCTACATGGGTGTGTTCAGTTTGTAAAAGTCCTTTGAGCTATACGTTTATGTGCACTTTTTTGGTATGTAAATTTTACTTCGATAAACAGCTTTTAAGTAGCTAAGATAGGGAAAACAAGGGCTGAAAAGATGAATAAGAGGTTAAAAGTATATTCACCAAAATGTTCACAATAGACACGATGCCATAATGTTTTTAGTTTCCTTTTTGAGGGTTCTTATGTCGTCCAGATGTAACAAAGTGATCACATATTGCCTATATAAAAAGGTTTTTTTAATGCTATAAAGTAAACTTGCCCTGAATCAAAGACCGTGCCACCCCAGCATGAGTTTGGCATTGGTGTCGTCCCCTGGGGGTGAGAAGACACCGGTCATCAGCTGCCTAGGCACCCGCCTGGCTCCAGTTTGCAATCTTTCAAGCCTTATAGTATGTCTTGGGGAATTTCTAATTAGTGTTTTATGGGATTTTTGTGTTTTTATATCCTTTGCCAGGCCGAACAGTCAAAAGAAGAGCAGAAGCAAGGTTTGAATGCGGAGAAATTGATGAGGCAGGTCTCCAAGGATGTGTGCCGGCTCCGGGAACAGAGCCGAAAGGTACCTCGGCAGGTGCAGTCCTTCAGGTAAACGAACGGCCGGGCCGGGTTGTCCTCCTGTGGCCTGAATTATGTAGGAGTCCTCCTCAGAGTACACTGGACTTTAATGTCTGGACATGAGACACTGAACCCTCTCCTCCAGACATGTGAGTTTCCATTTGCTCCTTCCTGAGGGTACAGACTCCACTGGCCACAGTCCTGACTCCACTAAAGCCTGTCTCTCAAGGAACCCAGGGTGTCCTCAGCTCTCAGAAGCAAGTAGCGCATCTCAGTGACACATACAAGAAGGTACAGAAAAAGCATATGCCTCGGGGCTTTTTGTTCTCTCATTCAACAGACATTCCTCGGGCACCCCCGTAAGCCACATGCCACGTGGGGCCCTGTGGTGCAGAGAGAAGCAGGTGCTGCTGCGCTCACCAAGGGGTGGGCCGTGGGGGGCGACAGGGAAGCAGCCCATGGCCATGACGTGTGGAAAGAGCGAACTGAAGGCCTAGCCAGGTCCTGCAAGCGCACGCACGAGGAATCTAAGTCTGTGCAGGGCCCGCAGAAGCCAGCGGGGGGTTACAAGAGAGGCCGTGTGCGAACCATAAGGAGGAATGGGTGCGAGTATGTCGGGCACTCGGGGACGCAGGCTGGAGCAGGGCATCGGGGCAGGAGGGACAAGCGCGCACAGAGACACAGAGCCTTCAGGGTCAGGCCGAGCTCCGCGTGTGCTGGAGCGCCAGCAGCCGGGCCCGTGGGGCATGATGGGCTCAGACCACACTCGGCCAGGCACGCTGTGCCGAAGGTGTTCGCCTGGGGTTTTAGTTGGTGAGGGAGCTAGCTGGAGTCTCCAGGCATGAAAGTAAGTGAAGAGGGTAGATTTTATGTGGAGCCGACATTAGAGGCACTGCAGAGAGTGGCCAGGGCAGGAACTGGAGAGGGGCCCAGCCAGGCGATGGGAGGTCAGTGGGTGGCGAGGCGGGCAGAGCACTGCGTCGAGGTGCCAGCACTCGAGGCTGAGGACACTGGGGGACAGCGTGTTTGTAGTCAGAGTGGTGAGTTCCGCTTTTGCGCACGGCAGACTGACAGCTCCAGTAGGACAGCCCAGGGAACTGACCAGTAGACAAGTAGAAATAAAAATCCAAAGCTAGGAGTAAGGGTCAGGATGGGATGTAAAATGGGGGTTCTTCATCCATCAATGGAAACAGGTCAGACATCCCAGGAGATGTGAAGAGGCGTCTGGCAGAGTAGGTCTGGGGGGCGCTGCCCATCGAGGGCTCACTCGTAGCCAGAATGTGAGAAGGAAGGGTCGGAGCGAGAAACAGAGGAGAAACGAGAGCGTGGCCTGGGGCTGGAGGGGGAGGAGATTGTTGATACTGTCACATGCAGCAAGGAAAGAGAGGATAGAAAAATAATCCCCCCACCCCCACCACAACTAGGGGATCGGAGACCACTGCTAACCATGCGGGGACATCCAGTCAGGTGAGAGCGGGGCCACAGAAAAGGTTCTGTTGTATTGTTTTTTGTGGGTTTGGGTTTGGGTTTGGGTTTGGGTTTGGGTTTGGGTTTGGCTGCGTGTGCGTTTATGTTACATAGAAGAAGAGTCTGCAAAGCTGTTAGGCAGGAGGGGGAGATGTGTGGGGACAGACATCGAGATGCATGGTAGGGCCGGCCTAGTGGGGAGGGGTGGGACTGGGTGCCAGGCGAAGCTGAGGCCAGAGGAAGGAGGTGGAAGTCGGTGCTAACTGAATGAGCCCAGGGTGCGGGGGGAGGAAGCCAAGGCATCGTGGGCTTCAGACTTTCTTTAAATGACAGTTTATAGAAAAGAGACGAGTTTCTCCTGCCTCCACGCGGCTGCTGAATCCCTCCAGCAACTTACAGAGATGCTGCTCCTTGGGTTTTTGGAATTCCAGCATAGAGAGAGGAATCTTTTTGTGCCTTTGGTGCTGTGGTCAGCAATGTCGTCCAGCAGGGACATCATACAAGCCCCAGCTGCTGCTAAAACCCAAAATAAAGATTTATAAATACTCTGTGTCCCCTAACATACTAACCCATTTATATCACCGGGTAGTTGATGAAAATGAGTGAGATGAACTGGATGAGACAGACTGTACTGGAAGCACACAGAGGCATCTGGTCACTGTCGCCGGGCCTGGGGCCGTGAGGGAGTGGGGGGTGGCAGGCCTGGGGTGCTCTGCCCATGCGCAGGCTGCTGCGCCCCAGCTTCCTCTTTCATCTGGAACCCAGAGCCCTGTGTTCCCTGGTCTTCTGATTTGTCAAGGGAAGCTAGAAATCAGAAATTTTATGTGAAATATCTCAAATGTGGACACTGGCAACTAATTCAGGCATTTAAAACACCACACACAACAGAGAACCCTTCTGCAGGAAGCGTCCAGGTGGGGGTCCCTAGTTTCCATTCGCCTGTGGCCTTCGGTAAAATCACGACCACACGCATTTGCCTCTTTTAATTTTGATTTTTATCTCTTCTGGAATTGAACAAATCAAAAGGACACTGTACCACAAAAATAACTCTCATTCCCGTTTCCATAACTTTTTCACTCTTCCTTTTCTTCTCGTTTCCTTCGTCTGTCCCCCTGAGTTCCTGCTTCTGACCCCGCACGTCCTCTGCCATCTAGACTCTGTTCCTCAGAGGAGGGGCTGGTGCCTGTTCTTCGCGGTCACCAACGTGCCCTGCGTACATAACACGCCCTCAGTAAATGTGTGTTGGTGGCATAGTATGTACGAGGTGAAGATTTCGTAGAAAAAAAGACATATTGCTCTTTGGTAACTATACAATCCTAAAGCCTCATTTTTTAACACTCTTCTAACCTCTGAAACTATTGTTTCTTTCTCAGCTTCTTCCTTTCAGGTCGTTTCTACTTCTCCCTGCTTCGGGACGCAGGACAGTTTTCCTTTACAACAGTCGGGTTCCTTTTTTTTCCTCCCTTCATTTAAGTTTTTTATTACTCGTCAAGTTGCATAACCCTGATTTTAAAGAATTTTCTCAGTATCATGTAATTTTTCGTGAGGTTCCTGAGAAATTTCCTAGGATTTCGGCCCTCTTGACTCCTCCGCTACCTGGTTGAGAGACATTCATACCTGGGCTGACCCCTGCCCGCCTTACATGGGAAACCCCGGAAGGGAACGGACTCTCTTGATCTGTAGATGATGTACCGTGAGCTAGAGCCGCTGCCGTCCCTTAGATCCTGGTGTGAACGGCAGAGGCCATCTTGATTCTAAGTGGAGTCCTGCCCCAGAGACAGATCCTGTCCAGGCTTGTGGAGACCCCGCTGGAGGTCCTGGGACCATTTGTAATAGTCACAGAGTATTTTCAACATCGTATTTAAGTGAGTTTATTCCTCACCCCGACTCCAGGGAGAAGATCGCCTACTTCACCAGAGCGAAGATAAGCATCCCGTCCCTGCCGGCTGATGACGTGTGATTACACCTCTGAAGACATGATTTTTTTCACCTGTTTATTTCTTAGGGTGGGCAAAAGACTGAACGTGGTTGTGTTTGGGGTGGGGGATTGTACTATAACTGTCAACTCTTAAAGAGCTTTTATTTCACATCAGATTTTCAAAATGTTAATTTGTAAAGTACCTTGAATATAATCCTTATATGTTTTAAAAAGCAAAAAAATCAGATAACCAAAATGGGCTGATCTGGTACACAAATGTTGTCCAGCATACGTGTATGGCCAATGGGCTTTATTTTGTAAAAATGGAATCGAGGCAGTACCCAGTGTATATCCTATTGAACTGACGGTTGAGAAATAACTCACTTTAGCAGAAGGTGGTTTTTGCTTTTCCTCTGTTTTCTTGTGAGTAGGTTGTGAACATGGCAACAGTGCCATGTGACGTTTTTGTGCTACAGAGTGGCTCTTCATTTAGAAGTTAAGCGTGAGCAGAAGCTCCAGTGCAGAGTTCCAGGGCCACCTGAAGCAGGCGCTGTGTTCATTTCTGTCACCTACGTTGGAACACTTTATCTTAACAGTTTGCTTTTCGTCTTTTTCTATTTGTCTAAAGAAGACAAAAACAAAATGCTGAGTTCAAGGACATAAGAATGCCAAGGAGCAGTCCTCCTGGCTACACTGCAGATCTTGTGACTTATGGCATTAAGGGTAGGGAGATGAGAGGAAAAAGCCAGGGACCCTGCAGCACACTAAAATAAACAGCAGTGAACAGCTGCTGCTTCTAACTCAGCCTCAATTAGGCTAAGTGTTCCAAGGTGAGTTTCTGGCGTGCTCCAGAATGTTTCGTCCTCAGTGTGAGGATGGTGTCATGTAGAAGAACGTGGTGGCCCGTGTTCTAAGGTGACGCGGAAGGAAACACATCAGCACTCGTTCGGTGAAACCAGAAACAGAGGAAAGCGTCTCTTGATTGAATCAAAGTTGCCAAAAAATCTTGTGGCCCCTTTATTAAAAAGATTTCTAACATTTACCAGCGGTTACTTTGCAGCTCTCATTGAGGGGATCCCATCTGTAGTTTATGGTAAGGAGTTTGGAGGCAAAGAGAAGAGTGTGTCTGTGAGATTATTAATTCGAAGTATAGGCTGAGTCATTTGTTTTTAAAAAAAAACCATTCTAGATGAATGAGTTTAGAGGTGTGAATTGACTAAAGCATCTTCCAAGGTAGAATTTTAGCTTACCCAACCCAAGCACTTCTCAAAAGAAACAAATCCCCAGTGTAGCTCTGCCAGCCTAAAGGGTTTTAAAATAAATAGTTTTATGCAATTTAAATCATACTCAATCTGTAAGACTGGAAGAGGCAGTTTTTGGTTAGCCATCTTATATAGCAAACTAAATCAATTTTATTTTTTAGAAATGCCAAAATCATCTTAAAGGAATGGGCCCCTTTAAAGAAAACACACACACAAGTTCTATTTCTAAGCTAGAATCCTCATTAGCAAGAATTTTTATTGTCATGAAAATAATTATACATATTTTGGAAATTTCATTTTATCAGAATCAAAATTCAAATTAAGCAGTTTATGAGCCTAGAACTCTAATTATTTTTTTCTAAGTGTCCCACCACTTATATACAAATGTCTTAGAAGCTATAACTGGACGTGACACTACATTGAACAAAAACCAGCCTCGTGAATTGACTAAGCACAGCCCTGTGCTCAGGACTGTCCAGTTCATTCTATTAAATGACTGAGGAAAACTAGAAAAAGAATACCATTCATTCTTGTCAAGGTCAAATGTGAAAGACAGAAGTTTATTTAATGTAGAGGTAAATGAAGGTCAGCTGTTTTCAGCTTCTTAATTTGACCATGAAAATGTTTATAGAATTATGTGTAGTTGTACCGTACGATTTTATTTTCTTCATTTATTTATTTACGGTCTTATTTATGTTCTGTTTTAATATATAGTTCGGTTCTGGCCATTTTAAATGTTTGACATAGAAGAGGCTATATTGGAATATTCACAGCTTTATAAATCATCAGATTCGCTGTTAACTTTTTGTAATACAAAAAGTTTCAGACAAGTATAAAAGAATAAAATCTGTCTCAGGCTGGTAGTTAACGGTTGTGACCAAGATGCTTTCGGTTTTATTTTACAAAATTTGCTCATTTCTAACATGAAACATCGACTTATTTTAATATAATCCTTTTCCACACTTTAAAAATCAGCAGTTGTGTTATCTATTTATAGGCAGCTTTTAACAATCCTGTTATATTTATACTAACCCAAATGATTCACAGTGACAAAACATTTTAATAACTTGATCACAAAACCATATGGTCAATATGAATTTTAATATTATAAATACTATTTTTAAAGGTAGAATTTATTCTGCACAGGGTAAAAAGAATGTAATATTTAGTTCTCAAGTTTGAATTATCAGTATATTATTATAATTTTGTATATCAGAATCTAAGCATTACAGGTACAAAAAGAATTTTGCTAGCCAAATGAACAAAGTTTAGCTGAATCTCTGTAGCATGCAAATCAAATAAATTTAAAATCTTTTTTTGCTATTACTTTATCTATATTGTATTAAATATCAAAAGCTCAGGACTGAACTAAATATTTAATCAGGTTAAATTCTGAATATGTTTCTGTTTTAATTTGTCCTGTTTGTAAAAGTGTGCAAATACATCACATAGATTAACTTTGGTTTCTGCACTTTTCATATGTTTGTGGGTGGGAAAAAATTCAATGGTTTTTTTTTTTTTTTAAACAAAGATACATATTGCCTAATACTTTATTTCAGTGTCGTTTATTTTTCAATTAATATCCTGGACTGGCTCAAACACAAGAGTTTACTTGAACTGTGTACTGAGCAAATATAAAATTTTTCCTGAAGAATTCCCTAAGCCAGCAGTTTGTCGTGAATACTTCTTGTTTGGAGAATATGTATTACTGATTCAAAAAAAAAAAAAAAAAAGATTATTTTCATTGTTCAAGTAAAACAAAGGACTCCAGAATATGAACTCTGTCAGGGCACGGCCTGTACTGGTGGTGTATTCACGGCCAGGGGCAGCAGGTCCAGGTCCAGGGCTTCCTCTGCCCACACACACCAGTCCTGACCTGCGGCGCCTGCTATGGCTGCTCCACAGAGCCAGGGGCAGCCTTGCTGGTTGGAAGGGGTGAGGTTGGCCATCGACTGCGGAACGCAGGACACGAGCAAAGGCTTACGTATGGTGGCTTTCATGTGAATCTTCCAAAACATGAGACTGCCCCGCTCTACTCTACTTCTAACGTAGTAAAGAAGGCATGAATGAATGCAGCCGACCTGTGGGAAGGGTTCCGTGAAGGCACTGACATGTCTGATTAAAGAGATGCATCCCGCATCTCTCACTCTTGAGCTTTCAGAGAGCCAGCAATTTTTTTAGTATAATCAGATGTCATACATTTTGAATAAATCTGCAGTGAGACTGTAGTTTCAGTATAATAGGTGATCTTAAACACTTGGAAGAAGTAAATAATTAGCAGTAACATTTCCAATTCCCAAATATTCATCTCTGAATAACACCTTCAAAGACATATAAATACTAATACAATGTTTTATTTACCAGTTCTGTGCAATCACTGAATCTATTTTAAAACTGAAAAAACTCATCCACAAAAATGAGTATGATTACTATTAAGCCTTGATTGGTTGTGGTCTCAGAGTAGAAGATAAAAGTGCTTTATCATCTTGGAAAGAAATTATAGTTTTAGAAGCTAATAGCCACAGGGAAAATGTACTTTAGAAAACCGTAAGCGTGACGACTGGGTGACTCTACAGTAAGAAACCCTACCAAGTCCAGGGTGGGCTAGCATCTCCCGAGTGGACACCCCAGATCACGTCTGGCTTAGATTTTCGGGTAGGTGTTTGTCATCTCCAGGCGTTGACGGAGATACTGCGTTTCTGCTCCTGCGTAGTGGCCGGAAGCTAGAGGAGCGTGAGTGGAGCAGGCCACACAGTTGAGCAGACCCCCTCCTAGCAGGAGAGAGAACCCAGCAAACCAGCCAATGAAGAGCGCTTCCCCAAACTCCCACCTGGGCACGATCTCAGGCATGGTCTCATCCCAGAACTCCTGCACTGTCACGTGGGCGACCCATGACACGGGAACCAGGGCTGCGATGCCCGCTGTCCAGAACAGAGTTCCTCCCACGATTAACAGTCGTTTCTTGAGCTCTTGCCGTCTCTCTCCGATTCTCAAGCAATCCAGCCCAAACCCAGAGGCCAGCAGGG